TATTATAAATACTTCTGGGTGGGTTTTTAAGAAAACTTTTTATACGTTTTAATATTTTCTAAACAAGAAAAAAAATCAGGTGTAGAGATGGGTTTCATGTGTGCGCATGAATCCTTAATCGTGCGTATTCATGCGCATGTTTCAGAATCATACACATTTTATCCCATCTAAATTTTATATAGAAAATTTAAAACATATATAATTTAGGCAAGGTAGAGTATTGTCGGGCAGAATTAAGGAATATGGATGTAAAAGTCCCGAAAAGAAAATTAATGAATATAAAAGAAGAGCAAGATCAGTGTTAAAATTTGAGCACGTATCCAATATTTTTCGAAGGGAAAATATAAAATTCCAAAAATAATATCATGCGATATCATACACATTTTATATAACATGCGCATTAATGTATATTCTTGTACATGTTATTATAAAATACGCATTTTTCCCATCACTAATCGGGTGGGTGGGTCACTTTTAGAATTCTATGTTATAAGAAACAATTATTTAATTTTTTATAGCCTCATCTCTATATGAATTGTAATATGGCGCAACAATTTTTTTTATTAAATTCAAACCTTAATCCTGTAAGCATTATCTATGTCTCGAGCTATATTAAACTATAACTGAAAGGTTATAAAGAGTTTTTACTGTAGAGATCAATTGCGAATATATAAATTGCTGATAGGCTTAAAATGAAATTCAACATATATTGTACAGTACAGAAACTTCGTTTCTGCCTATACTCAACAGCTTATATAGTACTTATATGTAGAGCAAAACTAATTACTATATGCCATTGCTTACAGTATCCAGGGTCTTATTCAAAGATTCCATTTTTTTGTGTTGTTATAGACTAGTCAAATAATTTTGCCAAAAAGCCATAGTACTCATGGAATAATATATTATTACTACATGTAGTAAATAATATTACATATAGTAAATAATATTACATATAGTAAATAATATTACATATAGTAAATAATATTATATTACTACATATTACTACATGTAGTAAATAATACTACATTACTACATTATTACTACAATTAAAGTTTAAAAAATATTGTGTAAAAATATATGTAGTAAATATAATTGTAGTAATTAGCTACTTATAGCACCAATCATTAGTTACAACTATCTAAAGTATATATAGTATTAGCTCACCTGGTTACTAACTTGAGTACTTATATGCAACCTGCTATTCCTTAAACTGTCCAGCGAGCAAATATGCCTGCTAGAATTTTTTAACATGATTTTTTAGAATTATTAAAAATTTTATTAAAAATAAACCTCCTATTACTAAGCTAAAATAAAAATTTAATATATTATTAATTAATATTTATTAAAATTTTAATTACCATAAAGTCCCGAATATAGACAACCCTCGAAAATAAGCAACCCCCAAATTTTGAGACCAAAATACTAAGAAAATAAAATAAGCAACTCTTTTTTAAAAAATTGCTAAACATATATAAAATTTATTATAAACTATTAATTTTTTATTCAAATTTATGTTAAACTTTATTAATTTCTTATTCAAATTCATTATACAAAAAAAATTATTCTTCTAATTCATTAGCAAACAAACTATCTTCTTCAACTATCTCGGTCAAATCTTCATTATTATCAATTTCACTATTCTCTTTATCTGAATCGTATAATAAATCATCTTCTGTCTCATCTAATTCATTAGAAATACCACACTTTTTAAATGATTTAATAATCATTTCTGCAGAAATATCATCCCACGCTTTTAAAATCCATTGACAAATTAAACTATAGGATGGTCTTTTTAAATTTCCTTTCTTAGTTAACTGAAATTCGCCATTACTCATCCACAAACGCTATTTTTCTTTTAGTCTATCCTTAAATAGTTTATTAATGCTTACATCCAAAGGTTGTATGATTAATGTTAAGCCCCCGGGAATAATAGCTTTATGGATATTATTAACAGCATATTTATGTTTTACCATATCGGTAAGATGCCCTTCAAATGAATCTATCACAAGCAATGACAAAGGTTTGTTTATAGTCGATGCTCCAGGTCATTTGTTCAAGACTTGGTCAACCCATTCGCACATCAAATTTTCGTCCATCCAGGTACTTTTGTGCATACATACAATAATCTTACAAGGAAGATTAGAAGGAATTCGCACACCTTTAAAAATTACTATCAGAGATAGTTTGTTTCCACTTGCTGTAATCGCCAAAACACAAGTAAACCAGTTTTTGTCGTTTCCAGTTGTTCTAATTTGAACCGTTTTGGTGCCTTTTTCATGAATTGTATACAAACTTGTTATGTCAAAATAAACTGGTGTTTTGTCCATATTTATGATTTGGGAAAGATCATACTGATATCTTAATCGAGATCGAATTATTAATTTATGAAATTCGGTGATTTTTTTAGTAAAATCTTCAGGCAACTTTTGGCTAATTTTAGTATGACGGCGAAAAGAAAGTTGATGTTGCTTTAAAAACTGATAAAACCAAGATTTGGGTACACAGAATTGTTGAGAAGCACCCAGATATTTATCTGCACAGGTTGTTGATAAAATCGTGAGCATTTGTATTTTAACTGAACCTGCTATTACTGCAATTCCCATTCTATGAAGTTCATTAAACCATTTAATAAGCTCTTCTTCAGCAGCTGGGTAAAATGAAGCTCTTCCAGCACCAATACGTCAGTTACTAGATATAACATTATTAAATTTTTCTTCGCTATTTTTTTATCATGACACTATAGAATGATCGATACCAAAGTAATGTAAAGCAGCCAAAACACCAATTTGCTTTGCTTCTTGAATAACGGTAAGTTTTTCTAATGCCTTATATGAAGTTCTTTAGACACATCTTCTAACTTTAACTGGCTTGTTATTACTGATAATAGTATTCATTTTTTTTTTGTTTTTTTTTATTTTTTTTTGTTTGGGTTTGTGTTGTTCTATACTTTGTTTTTTTTTTGTTTTTTTTTTGTTTGGTTTTAATGTTTTACGCTTTTTTTTTTTTCATGAACTCGTAAAAATGATGTGTACAAAAAAAAAAAATCCGGATTTAGAAAAATAAAGTGTGTATAAAGCATAGTGCAACGCTAAAAAAAAAATACATATGTACATTTATATGTACGTATATTATTTATATTCAGTGAATAGCATAAAATTAAACCAAAAAATTTGAATTGTGCTTATTCTTATAATTCAATTTTATGTTGGTAACAAAGACCAACGTTATTTATTATTTATTCCACTTGCATAACAGATTTTAAAAGAAAAATTGTAATCGACTATACTGTACTACAAAGTTGGTTATTTATATATAAGATAGATTGACCAATAAAAATCGAGTATTTTAAAGTCCCGAATTTAAGCAACTCTCTGAAAAAATTTGGCTAAAACGGGTAGCTTAGGGGGTTGCTTATATTCGGGACTTTACGGTATACATATAATCATTATAAAAATAAACTCTTTCCGATGATCACTTGAACCATATTTTCCAAAAAAGATTTTACTGCAAGAAAAGACCTTACAAGCTGGCACTTGACCTAAAAACCTAAATGATAAGACAGTACCTGTCATTTAGAAGTAGTTCTCATACACTACTTGCTGACAGGTTTAGAGTTTATCACTTACTGCATAGTCTTGGCACTTGTTGTTTAGAGGTAGTTCTTATATGCTACTTGCCGACAAGCCTAGAGTTTATCACTCACCAGAAAAAAGGTTGAGCAGGTGTTGGGCAGTGGGTCTTAACTGTAAAAAAAAAAACTCACACTCCTTTAAATTGGTTTGAAGCTCAAGTGGTCCCTCTTTACCTCTCGTTGTTTTTCTGTCAGTCTCCAAAAATTTTTCATAAAAAGTGGGAAATTTGGCTTACCCCCTCCAAAAAATTGGCATTGTTTACTTACCAAATCCAGATAGACCGATAGATAGCAACTACATGTTTAGAGACGAATACGTTGTATGGGCCCTGGAATGAGTCCCGGTCAAAAAAGGAATTCCTGGTGGCGGCACCAAGTAGCTTGAGATACGAGTATCTGAGTGATAGTGCCTTTACAGAAATGTCGCGTCCTTGTCGTCGTTGGCACCGTATATAGAGAGTTGGATTCTAGTACTGCGGCAGCACTTGGTTTGAGATACGGTCTAGGTTATTAAAAAGATTTAGAATTGGGTTGGAGGGAATTTTAAGGTTAAGCTTAGACTTATAACAGAGATATACAAATGTTGCATCTGGTATATAATTTTTAAATCACTTGGCACGGGTTATAATAGTGTATTCAGATCGCTTAATTTTGTCTTTTTTCTGCTTGTTTTATCTATTTTCATTTATATTAGAATCGGTTTAGGTTCTCCTTTCCTTTTTTTCTATTTGTTTTATTTTTTCTTTTGTTTCAGTTTTCTTTTTTAGAACAATTTCTATTTTTTTTCAGTTATGAGGGAGCTTTTAGAGAGTTTCTTTAAATGTATCTTTCTTTATAATGTTGGCATATATGTTAGTCTTATGTAGAAGTAGAGGGTAATATGTATAATCTGCTGGGATTTAAGTGGATTGAGTTCAGAAAGATATTACTAAAATTTAAGGTGGGATAATTCGAAAGAAGGGATTGGCTTTTAAAAGAAGTCTTTTTTTTGTAAATTGGCATATATGTTTGCGCTATGCAAAAGTAGAAAAAAATATATTCTGCCCGAACATTGGTGGAATAAGTCTAAAAGGAAGATAAAATATAATTGGTTCGAACTTAGGTAGCTGAGTACCACACTATAGCAGGTTTTTAAATACAGGTAGTACCGTATGTGGAGCTTGTTAGCAAATATCAGTGCGATAGCACTTTTATAGCAGCCAGGTAGTTGTCTAATATGTAAATTAGATAGTTAATTTTGTAAATTACAAAAACTTCAATAAATTATTGCGAGGTTATCAAAGGGAAAAAAAAAAAAAAAATTAAAATCTAATATTATTATTTGAATAAATCAAAAAAACTTGAAATATTTCTAATAAATATAAAAAATTTGTTATTTGTTCAACTAATGTTACTAGTTTTATAATTTAACTGCTTTAAGTCGCTCTTGAGTGATTTACCTGCAAAAATATTTATAGTAATTTTTAACGATATTATAATAATTTAATTAAAGTTACTTGTATATTTTCTACACAAATTAGTCTACCAGTTTATTATAAATTTCAATAAATCTCACTTATTCATATTTAGTTGTATTAAGCTATTTGTTTTACAATTATAAGTTAAAATAGTATAAATTTACTTTTATATGCTTCAATTTAACCCCTTATATATTTATTACTATTTAAAATTATGATTATATAAAAATCTAGAATATATTTCATAACAATAAAATATTTCACAGTACATATATATAATTTTTTAATTTACTATAATTGTTCTTACACAGATTAATTATTTTACATATTCTAAATATAGTAATATAAAGTCTAAAAGTATATTAGTTTGATAAAGCTAATATATTAATAGTAATCAGATTATTTTGCATTGTTTAAACTAACTCTAATTTATTTTAAAACTATTTAAAATGACTTTCTAAGTAATCGGTGTAATTCACATTGTTTAAGCTAATTCAAATTTATTTTAAAATAATTAATTTTGCTTTTATAGAAATCATTTTATATCGTATTGTTTAAGCTAATTATATATTTAAAGAAATTGGTTAATTCACATTGTTTAAGCTAATTCAAATTTATTTAAAACGATCTAATTTTTGCTTTTATAGAAATCAGTTTAAATCGCATTGTTTAAACTAATCCTAATTTATTTTAATACTATCAGGAGTTATTAAGATCAGTTATAGAGCACGATAGCAATTAAAATTACAATAAATCAATATATGCCAAATGTATTTAATATAATAAATTTGATATAATTTAATAAAGAAA